TGTTGTAGCTTTTTTATTTAATTAACAAAATATTTATAGTATTCGTTAAATTTGATACTGTATTATACTAATATAGTTTAAATGAAAATTCAAATTAAATTGTAAAAAAAAACTATAGAGATAAAATAGCAAGAACTAGCAAACATGTATAAAAAAAATTTTATTTAAATCATCTACTTACTAGTATACTTGTGTAGACATAAGTATATTATTTATATTATTTGAATCATCTATTTTTTTATAGCTTTGCTTTATATAAAGGCATATAATTTGCAAGCAAGGTTACTTTACCTTTCAGCTTGTGTATAAAAGATCCTTGGATTTCAGGTCTCACCTACTTTTTTAACAAGCATTAACTCATGTAAATTATTGTGGATTATTTAAACTAGAGATCTTATATTGTCTACTTGTATATTTATTCTTGGATTTCTAATAATAAATTAGAAGTATAAAAAATTTTCAAAAATGCAGGCAAAAAGGTGCACAAAGTGTCAATTAAATTCAAGAATCAATGCATAGATCATTCTAGAATCTGATTTCCTAATTCGGTATATCCCCTAACTGTAATAATAAATTAAGCCTTTGATTTTCAAATATTCTTTTCTTGTGACATAAGAATCTCAGAAAAAAATTGAATATTAAACTACAAATCGCCACAGTAGTGATTTAAGTATTAACTATAGCTGCTGCAACAAAATTGAACTGATAAATTTTCAATTTTGATTAGCTAAAAGTGATGAACAAAAAATTAGGTCAGAATTGCTTATAATATTACTAATGAAATCATAGCTACCTATTAAGTGAAAATTGTCCCTGGGCATAATGCAGGTTTTTAAAAATTTCTATTTTTGTAATGAAAAAAGTTAAAAAGTTAATTCTGGCCGAAGATTAGTAAACAATTTTGTAATGTGGGCCAAAATTTTGAAGATCCTCAGCCGTTAGCAAATCAAAATCGAGGATCTGCTAGTTCAAATTTGTTGTAGCAGCTATAATTAATAATTTAATTTATAGTTCAATTGGCATGGGTATACAGTTCCACACAGACCATCAAATCTGTACTAACTCAGACTATACTTGTACAAATCTGGATCTTGACCCATACCACAAAGGCCCATACCTATCCAAAACCAACTCATGCTAATCTAATACATTTTCCTTAAAAGGCTTATTGAGTTTCTATGTTAAGGCATATTATCATAATTTTCTAAATATTATATTTTATATTAACACGAAATCATTACAATTTGACAATCAAATTGTCATCAAATCTAATAACAATCATAATAAAATTGCTATGATATTGCTAAAATATTGCAATAAGAAATCATGTAATTTGACAATTAAATTGTTACAAAATTAAATAACAATCATAATAAGATTGTAAATAGTTACCAGATCTAATAAAAGTTCATCATATCATAATAATTTTATTATTAAAATCATTATGAGATCTTAACAAAATCATTACTCAATTTTTGTGTAGTTGTAGTAAGATTATCTTAATATTGTAACAATTTTATTATTAAAATCATTATGGAATCTTAACAAAATCATTACTCAATTTTTGTGTTATAGTTACGATGTAAGGTAAAAATATTGTAACATTATAAATCGCCACAAAATTTTTTCAGAATCGTGGTTATCTTGAGATAACATCGTTACTATATCGTGACAACATCGTCAAAAATTTAGAAGTTTCTGTAAAGTGATATCTAACATAATACTATACTATCGACATGCTTATATATTATAAAATAAATTATACAAACCTATCCTGTTAGCATGTTTAGAGTTGCAATCCATTATCTGTTTATCCATTTATCTATTGAATACCCGGATTCGGATATCCGTTTTACTATTGTTATCCGGATAATTACCGAATATTTGTCAGATTATCCGGATATCAATAGTAAAATGGATATCCAGATAAATTCAGATATGGACAAATGGATGACGGATTATCCGGATTGTAACTCTAAGCATGTTATCCTGAACCTTCAAAATTGATGAAGATTTACTTCTTACTACATGCAAACATGTTAAAATGGTTTATTAAATTATATGTTTATAATCGGGTACATACAAGTTTCCACCTCGAATAAACCAACATTTAATAAATTGCAATTTAAAAAGAAATATATATATATATAAAGAGCCCAAATGTCACAAATCACAGATTTGTGACAATAGCTGAATCTTGGGTCTGTTTTATAATTACATTGTTAAAATTTATAGCAATTCTCGATACGATCAATTTAATCAATTATGAATCAATACATCGAATTGTATTACAGTATATCCAAATTTCAGAATTTGAACTAAATCGGCAGCAATGATTAAGCTGTCTTCATAAATTCTGGATAGCTGAAAAATGACCTTACGGGATTATGAAGATTTTATGAATAAAAATTAAAATTTCTAGCTATCCAGTAATCCGATTAAAATAACCCTTTTTTTACTTTGTAAAGCTTAGTGTGTTCTACAAAATAAAAAATTTGAATTAGATCATTAGATGCCTAGAAATTTTAATTTTTATTCATAAAATCTGCATAGTCCCGTAAGGTCATTTTCAAGGCAAAGACCCCATTTGTTATAATTATTAATTATTTTGGCGTTAGCTATTTGATCAAATAATTTTGTAATCGGTTATTAACTGGCTATTTGGCGAGTTATTTGACTATATTTACTGACTTCGGTTAATCAATTTAATGACCGACAATAACTGACCAATAACCGACTGAACCCATTCTTAATCTGTTATTATGTGCATTAGTATTGGGGCATAATTTATTATTGTAATCACACAGTACTAATAAAGCAACCGAAGAAACATCTACATATACGTAACATTTAAATTTCCTTTAGTACGATAATATAAAATTGCGAAATTAAGATTTTAAAGAAATTCAAATATTCACTTTACACTTAAAAATAATAATAATAAATCATTATAAACTATACTATCTACTTAGCAATCATAAACAAAATCACAATTAGGGTTCTGCAAGTGCCTTATTAAACTTGAGCATGGGACTATGTTTTAATAGCGTGCTGGCACGATAATTAAGAACAATTTCTGACTTTCTTAATCATGTATAAAAATCAACAAATACATTGTCGTTATGGCGACAACCATAGCATCAACAAAAAAAGTAATTTACGTCATAATTAAAACTACGATGCACAATTTCCTAACAGTGACGTTTGTAATCATGTGATAATTTTTGATGTATCTTATGTAACCATTTTATACGTAGCAAAAAGGTGTGACTCTGCAGATTATGATGTCATGCAATCGCTGATTTTTTGATACTCCGAAAATTTCAGAAGAAATTCCCGCGAAATCAATCATCAATTTCCTTTTTTAATGGTCTGCAAACCACAATACTGCAATAATTAATTTGTTATCATCCGGAATTTTTGATATTTGTTGACAACCAAACTCCCAATTACGTAGAATTGTAGTTGAAACCGACGGGCATAAAAAATTGAAGTCAGAGAGTGGCTTGTACGCAAATCCTGAAACTTCGATTGGATGCAATACCACCACAGCAAATCAATACTTCATTTATCTTAACAAGAAAAGGCTTATTTTCAAAATAGATGATGACAAATCCATACGTAAGCTGATTGAAATGCCTAATTCGGTAACTTCCCCCAAATCAAATAGGTGATATGCAACAAGACATAAATAACAGCAGGATTTCTGTAATACAAAGGTTTGACACAAGCCTATAGGTGCAGAAATTTAATGACGAGTAATTACGTCAAAAAAGATACGCAGTTACGTAAAAAATTGTCTAATAAGGAATAGCCGTAATGTGATAACGATAAACATATAACGGTAAATTTGAGATTCAATTGAACCTAATTCTGGCACTTTCTACGCCTATACTATCTGAATCGGAAACTAATACAATTTTACCACAACAAAAAAGTCAGGAGAGGTGTATAATTCAATCAATTTATTATTTAATTAGATGGGATACATCTTTTAATTAATATATTGCCATTAACTATTGTATTATAAAGCAGTATGACAATAGCCAACAAACGAGAATTTAACAACATTGGTTCGAACTAGACAAATTAGCACTTTTAATGCTTTATACTGATGCGTATTTTATTTACATTATCCCTAGTGAACAATATAATAGTAATTGAGGTCAAAGATTGAATGAACTTTATAAAAGCTTCCAGTAAGAGTAATGACGTAAAATTATAGTTAGTGTAAAAAAAGGACGTGTAACTTGAATAAATTATCTATTAATGGAAAAGCTTTGGTCAATCAATACAAGATCGTATCATCGATTTGATGAAAACTTTTAACCTGATTAATTTTAGGCCAATAAGACATTTGGTAAGACATTCAACTATTAGCGGTAAATATATATATATATATATTATCTATTTTCTTATACAGTTAAGGGGGTTTAACCCATAATTCAGTAATTAATCAAGCAACAAATGATAGGTAACAATACTAATACATAACTAATAAATTTGTTTGATTCAATAATTTTATTTATCCGTTATCATAATTTCTTAATTGGGATTAAATTCATGTGGCGATTAAAAAACATGGCATATTTTGATATAGATATTTAAAAAAAAAAAAAACCAAAAAAACGCCCTTCAAAAAAATTCAAATCTATAGATGATAAGAGTAAACTTATGTAATTCTTTTTTAATGCCATTAATTTTTAATTGAACATAGAATGATATATTTTTTAAATTGAAAAAATGAAAAAATAAAATTAATCTAATCTAAAGAACAAAAATTTTCATCATAGTATATACATTTTTTTTTATTAAAATACATTAATTAAGCTATTATAGTAATAAAATTTTGGGCGTTTTTAGATTATGAATTAGGGATAAAGTAGGTTCAATATAAAATAAATGAATTGTAAATTAGAAATTAAGATTTAGTAATTCTTATTATAATAATTAATAATGAGTATGTTAACGAGGATTAGAAGTAATTATTATTATTATATTCAATTCATCACAAATAATTTTGGCCATATGCTAAAAGGAGAAATAAAACAAAGTTAATAAAATGCAATTCGTCCAAAAAAAAAAAAAAAAAGTACATAATTAATAAAAGCATACCATTTCCAATACGAATCAATGCCCTTGTACGTCGCTAATATTCCGTCCCTCTTATTTTGTTGACAGGCCTTAAGAAATTCTTCAGATGGATTTGCGATCTTAGAATTTTCATTCCAATAATAGCATATACGTTGTAGTAAAGTTTTTGATTGTGTTTTTAGAAATAATTCCCATGCTGATATTGAAAATTTCCAATCAACAAAATCTAATCTACGTAGTCTAGTAGGTGTATAATTAAGTAATTGATATAATATAATATCATTATTATTATCATCATTCAAGGTATCGGGAGCGGCGTAAAGTTTTAAATCCTTTAATTGTTCACAAGATTCCAGTAAACGATCAATTTGAGGATCCGAACGTGAAATTGGTATCGAACAGGATTTCAGATTTGGACATTTATTGGCGATTGTACATATTAATAAATCACATCTTCTTGTATCTTTGATTCGAGAACCTTCGATTGTAATTTTTCGTAATTTTCCAACAGATTTATCAATCAAATTTGTTAAGTATTCTAAACTAAAATCATGCTTGCATCTAAATTTAAGTTTTGCTAAATCACGAAGTATAGGTATATTTGCGGAGGTTAATGAATCGGTGGATTCGCATGATTGTGATTGTTCATGGATACATTGAAGAGTTATTTCTTGCAAATTGACAAAATCTGATAATTTTGCCAATAATGAACAAGAATTTAACAAGTGTAAACTAGTTATAAAATTTGCTTTTTTCGAAAGCTCATAACCGACACCAGGAGATTCCCAATATTCTTGTGGTGACATGCGATGAAAGTTCTCGAAACAAACTTTTTCTAATTTTTTTTGAGAGCTTATCAAATTTGCCAATGTATTCGTGTTGTAGTTACCCATGATTAAAATTTGTGTAATGTCCGTTGTTAACAGTGAAAGATGTTCGAAAATATTGTCCATTACAGGCTTGTCTCTACATTCCAATCCTTTTAATGAAGATAAACAATTATTCTTTGGATTTAAATTTGCTAAAGCTTCCCCCAATTGACCAAAAACATCCACCTTTGAATAATCATTAATTCGGAGTATATAAATTTTTGGAGATTCTTTAAGAAAAAGGGATAAAAGTTCAGAGCAAACCAAACGAATCTTATCTTGCGGTGGCATCGAAGTTGAATCTAAGGTATTAGAATTGTTGTTATATAATTTTTTTCTAAATTTTTTAAAACGTCTTACGACTCTCTTAAGAGGACGGAATCCAGGTTTGCTCTTGTTTTGAACCCATTTCATAACTAACCAATACAAGAATTCTAAATCTAAACAACGTAAATACATGGGATAATTAAAGGTTGTCGAAGATGAAATAGATGATACGTTATATCCTTTTTTTTCAAGTTTTATTATCGATTCTCGCGGTAATGAGGCAATATATGTATTGATTAGTGATATTGGTTGCGTGAAAGATGGCTTAGAAAAAGGCATATTAAAGAATCGTGCCCAGGGATCTTTCCATAGGATAGGAACGGATAGTTCACACCAAAGTCTATTAACTAATAGACAAGAGTGTAAGGATTCAGTGTCATGTCGAAGAAATTTCAATACCTCATGGATACAATCCACGTTGGTTTGAAACGTCATCTTGTTGATTATTATTATTAAGTAAAAAGAAATAAACCTGAAAAAAATGCGAATTTTAGGTAAATATAATATATGCAAAAAAGTAGGGGGCGCTGTTGTGTATTGATTGGCGTACATCATTTACAATCAAATATATTCGTCATATTGTTAAACTTGGTCACATGGTTTGTTGGTTATTTGTCATATCGGAATTAAAGTTGATCTTTACTTGAAGTAGACCGATTAAATGTCGTGTACCAATACTATAAACTAGCCATTAGCGGGAGTAGGAAATTATATATATTTGATCTTGTTTCTCAGTTTTTTTTTTTTTTTTTTTTTTTTTTATTGTTATTATTATTTGGCGACCATTAAATGATAACACACTTTGATACTATATAAGTTGCCAATAATGTATTTTTTGACTAAATAAAAGGTTATTGGAAATAAATGCATAATTGATATCTGTCAATATGGATAACAATGTGGTACGTACTATAGAGGTTATTAAGTTAGATCTTTGATGTTATTAACGCTGCAAAGTTTTCTGAATAGAAATGATGGGTAGATAATATTTGTTTCAATTATGCAAAGCCATGACTATATTTGATAACTTCTTGGCTTTCTATGCTTCTTCTAAGAATACTTTCACAATACATCCTTTTATTGCTATGCGACAATTATATTCAGTAATCAAAAAGGTTCATTGAGAATCATAATCATGCTTTCGGATTCATGAAGAACTTTGTCTTAAGGTTCAATATAACTTTGTGTCCAAATCTGAGACAAACTATTAAGCAAAATTTATTTTACGTCTTCCATTTTTAGGTCTGCTTTATTTGTCAATAATCTACAGTATTTCTATGCATTATGCACCGAGGGTCTTTGGTAGATCGTTTGATGTTTAAAATAGCACAATATTCGAATATTTATTTGTCATAATGTATAGGAGAAATGAAAATATTTTCAAGATCTCGGGATCATTGTCCCAATAATACGTTAATGACATCCTGTTGTATAAACAATGGTCATCCTAGTAGCACAGATATTACGGATATTACAAATAGTGTTTGGCCAGATTTTTGTGAAAGCCGACATCATTTTTAAGTATGTTATGCTAAATTTGTATAATTTCTCCCTAAAATCGTGTTAGTTACCTTTTAAATTCTAATTTTGACCCTGTAACCTGCACAATTTGTAATCTCATTTTCAGGGGCTTACATACTACTGAAGAATCGAGAATTTAAAATATAGAATATATAATAGTTATAATAGTTAAATTAATGTTTGAAAACTCGTGAATAAAGCTTTCTTTGGTATTTTATTTTATGCATAAAGTTGTTAATTCTTTTGCTCGCATAATTTGATTAAAAATTGTATAAGAGCTAATAAAGACATGAATATTTTATTTTTATGCAACCATATGTTATTATAACCGTAATTATACGTATACAACTTGGGTTGTTAATTGGAGCAAACATACTCTTGTTCCATTAGAAACCAGTTTAAAAAATATATACCAAAGGTTAGTTGGGTCAACTAACTTTAATCCAACTCATGAATACGCGTAATACAAAAGTCTTAATAAACTTGCTTTATTTATTTTATTTATTATCTATTTTTGTTTAGTGTATTTGTTTTTGGTACTATTGGTTTTGATATCTCTTTGATATTATTATAATTTTTGACCCATTGTTTTTATACAGTCACTACTTTGGTATTATTCTTGTTGGAATTATTGTTTCTATTTCTATTAATGTATAATAGTTTGTTTTAATATCATTAATCTATACTGCAATGTTGTATTACATATTTAAAATTATAATTTAAATCCAAATTTAATTATTCTGACCACCGTATCGTACTGCATAGTGTCCCCCCAAATAGTATCTCTTGATCAAGACCCGCCCATCTGTGCTTAATTCTTGAATATGACTAGTGCTCCGAACGGGTCGGGTTGATAATTTTCGGGTTAGAGCTTCAACCCGAACCGACCCGAATTTTAATTTTTTTTAAAAAAATGAATTCAATCGTCCTTTTTGCTCTTAAACGTTTAATAATTAATCATCAGAGTTGCGTTATGCTTATAAACTCAGCGGGCTACTACAGAATAATTGTGCATTGCATATTCAGAATCAATGAAAGGCTTTTTTATTTTTATCCTATGGATTCATGGAATTAATATAAAAAAACTTTACCGATCTTGCTGTCGAGAAATTATTGTTCGAAGTTAAAAAGAATTTAGACGATTATTAAAACAAAGTCAGCAGTTAAATTTTTCCAAACTTTGATCGACAATACCACGATAACTGCCCACCTAAAATCGATGAAAACGTTTTTTTATTTTATTCTATGTTATGGAATAGATAGGTAATTGCTGAGATATTTTCGTTCAAAGTTCGAAAAAAGTATATAATATTATTACCAGGGATTTTTAATTTCATTATCAATAAATAAGCACCAATCAGATCTCTTCGAAGAATCAAACCAATTTCAATATGTGTAATATTTTAAAGTAAAAAATCTACATTAAAGTTAGATTAAAAAATTAGAACTTTTTATATTAGAGCGCTTCATAGTCGAAATTTTAAGTTACGTATCAACAGTTTTTTAAATAATGTGATTTTCACGTTATACCTATCTAGCTTTCTTAATAACCCTAGTTGCAGATTCTCGATTTTGTAATGTGGGTTAATCAATCAAAATCGAGTGACAATTTTGTGTCGATCGTTTGAAGAAATCTGATTGTTTGACTGTCTTTTGAGGTTTTATTTAAAATATTATTTAAAAATACATATGCGCTTGCTATTAGAACAAAAAAAAAAACATAAAACGCTTATTTCGAGCATCTAAATTGGATAGTTTTCGGGTCGGGTTCGGGTTACAGCTATTTTCATTATTCCTGGGACACCTATAAAAAAACTTGCCGAAAAATTTTTCGGCCGGTAATTTTTTCTGCATGATCGGTATATAAAAAATATAATATCTACGTCATAAATTAAATATATTTCAATTTTTATTTACTGTAATATTTGACGTCTAAATTAAATATATTTTTGAATTTGTTCAATTTTTATACTGTAATATTGACATCTAAATTAAATATGTTCAATTTTTATTAACTGTAATATTGATATAATATCTACGTCTAAATTACATCATTGTTCCGATTCCAAAAATTACCATAATAAATATAATACTGTTCTATGTACAAATAATTTTATTATTATAATGTCAACATTATTAAAATTTCATTTGAATGCTTACCCAATAAAGTTATAGTCTGGAAGGATTCGTCAAAAACAA